GGTGATCCTAGCATGAAGTTGGGAGAGGCAGGTGACAGGTGTCTAGTGCCAGGCTGCAGTCACTCTAGAAATGGCCCTGTTGTAAGACCTGAAAGAAGGCAGGAGAATTAAATCAGGTTCCTTTCATAGCTAGAGCTAGAATAGTTCTTAACTAAGTGAAGGATAAAGCTGATCACAAAAGAAAAAACATGGTTTTGATCGCTTGAAATTGATAAGTTTTTTACATGAACAAAATTAATACAACTAGAATAAGAAGGTAGGCTGATGGTTGAGGGTGAAAAATCTTTGCATCGGATATCTCTGATAAGAGTCTGATACCCAAGATGTATGGAGAACTAATGCCCATATATATTATATACATATATATATATATACATATATATATATATATAATACCTGAAGACATCCTCCAATAAGTATCTAAATAATATAAATATTTCTCTAAAGAAAAATTATAAACAATTCTGCTGTTGATGGAGTTATAAATTCTTCCAATCATTCTGGAAAAGAATTTGGAATTATGCTTTAAAAATGACTAAAATATCCATACTCTTTAACACAGAGATTCCATTATTAAGCACATACCCCAAAAAGGTTAAAGTTAAAAAGAAATTCTCATATCCACCAAAATATTTACATTTTTACAGTAGCACTTTTGTAGTAGCAAAGTTAGAACAAACTAGGATCATAGTATTATAGATTTAGAACTGGAAGGGACCTCAGAAGTCATCAAGTCCAATCATTTTACACATGAGGAAATAGGCCCAAATAATGATTTTCCAGGGTCACATAAGTGGTAAAGCTGAGATTTAAACATAGGTCTCCTGAAGCCAAATCTACTAGTTGGCACAGCTCATATAGTGCTAGACTTGGAGTCAAGAAGACTTGAGTTCAAATCCTACCTTACATACTTACTAGCTATATGGAACAGGGGGTCACTTAACCTCTTTAAGCAGGGACCTGAAGGATACGTAACTTCTCTAAGCTCCATTTAGTTGGGATTTGAAGGAATTCAGCAAATCCAGGAGGTAGAGATGAGAAGGAAGAGCTTTCTAGGAATGGAGGACAGCCAGAGGAAATGGCGTATCCTGAGAAATGGAGTATCTTGTTTGAGGAAGAGCAAAGAGGTAAAAACAAGTGTCAGTAGATCAAAGAGTACATGGTGGAGAATAAGTTATAAGAATAGAAAAGTGTGGAGGGTTAAGTAGATTATAAAGGGCTTTGAATGCCAAACTGAGGATTTTTTATTTGGTCCTGGAGATGATAGAGAGCCACTGGAGTTTATGGAGTGGTGTGTGTGTGTGTGTGTGTGTTTATGTGTGCCATAGTGACCCTTTCATTTTATGAAAACCACTTCAGGGGCTTAAATGGAGGATGCGTTTGAGTGGAGAAGAACTTGAAGCAGGCAGACCCACCAATAGGCTATTGCAATACTCCAAGCATTAGGTGATGAAGGTGGCAGTATCAGAGGAGAGCAGGGGGTGTATTTGAAAGATGTCACAAAAGTGAAATCTACAGGTCTTGGCAACAGATTAAAATTGGGGGTTAGAGATGAGATAGTAAGGAGTTGAGGACAACATCTAGATCGCAGGCTGAGGGACTAGGAGGAAAGTGGTAGTAATTGGACTTGGCAGTAATAGGGAATTTTGGAAGGAGGAAGGTTTAGGGGAAAAGATAACGAGTTCAGTATGGAGATGTCTACTGGACATCCAGTTCAAGACATCTGAAAGGCAGTTGGAGGTACAAGAATGGTACAAGAGGTTAGAGCAGGATAGATAAATTTGAAAATAATCAGCATACAGATAATAATTAAATCCATTGGAGCTAGTGAGATGACCAAGTGAAAGAACATAGAAGGAGAAGAGGGCCCAGTACAGAGTCTTGTGTGACATCTATGGTTAGAGGGCATGGCCTGGTTGAGGATCCAGCAAAGTAGACTGACAAGAAGTGTTCTGATAGGTAGGAGAAAACCCAGGAGAGATTAATGTCAAAAAATTCAGAGAGAAGAGGGTGATCAATAGTGTCAAGGAGAATGAGAATTGAGAAAAAGCCATTGGATTTGGCAATTAAGAGATCAATGGTAACTTTGGAGAGAGCAGAATCTATGGGATGATGAAGGCAGTAGCTGAATTGTGGAAGGTCAAGAAGAAAATGAGAGGAAAGAAAGTAGAGGCACCTGTTGTAGATGGCCTTCTCAAGCCACAAAGGGCAGATGAGATAATTAGATAATAGCAGAGATGGAAGGATCAAGTGAAGGTATTTTGAAGATGGAGAGACATGGACATATTTGTGGGCAGTAGGGAGAAAGCCAGTAAACAGGATGAGATTGAAGATAAGTGAGAAAAATAGGGATGACAGGCAGTATGTTGGAGGAGGTGGTCTGGAATGGGATCATTGTATAGGGTTTATCTTGAGTAAGGAGTAGAGTGAGTAGCAGAAGGTATCTAGGTATTAAAAGATAAGGAGTACAAGAGAAGAGGGAGTTCACAACAAATGGCTTTAATTTTTTCTGTAAAATATAAGGTTTTCTCAGCTGAGGTGGGGGGATCCCATGGGAGATTTTAGGAGAGATGAAAATATTTGGAAGAACCACCAAGAATTGTGGGATAATGAGTTCATAAGGAAGGTATAGAAAGATTGCCTAGCAGCAGTGAGGGGCCATTTGTAGTGGACGCAGTCAGAACAGTTCTGTGATTTGCTCCACGTTTGTTCAGCAATATGTGTGTTAGGAGTGAAGGCAGCAGCTTGTAGGAACAATCCAAGGCTGAGGCTTGGCAGGACACAATCAACAATATGATAAGGGGTCTAGGGATAATACAGAGTTGAACTATTTCACCAAGGGGTCAAGATGGGGAAAAAAGAGTATCAGGATCCCTATGACAAGACTATTTTTTTTTCTCTTCTCTTTTTTATTATTAGGGAGACACCCTGTTTTCCAGAGCTAAGGCCCAGTAAGCAAGCTCTGCCCTAAGCTTGGCATAACAGCAATCCTTTGCACTCACCCTCTAGATGAACTCTGCCATAGCAATTGTTTCACATTAGCCCTAAGTGGTCTCTGAGCTCAGACAAACACCCTCAAGAGCCGTGTTCTGGTCATGAAGCCCTGCTATGAATCAGATTTCTCTCGTGGTTGCTGTTACCATTGTCAAGGCTACAGCTCACTGCGTAGCCATTGCTATATGTATTAAGAATTTGGCCTCACTAAAGGGGGTCTCCTCTTAGAGAAGGACCCAGCACACGTGTCTAGTTTCCCTCCCCCAACATAATAAAGCTCTTTGCTTTATGATCACTGTTAGTTCTTTGGTTTTATTTTATTTTGTTTCTTAGAGTTAACTGTGGTTGTGAACACCTTGGTATTTTCAGAGTTAACAGCAATTGCACAACCTCTGTGACTCTTTGTTCTTTTCTTTTCATATTTGACAAAAAAGAGAGACTAGTACAGAAAAGAAGGCCTAAGAAAGTACTAGAAGCTGGGAGGGCTATGTCTCAGTAACTGCCAGAAGGAGAGAAAGAAAAATCAAGTAAAAAGATTTAGCGGAGCCTGTCTGTATTGGAAGTCTTTGTGGTAAAGATATTGGAGTGTGTAAAAGTTAAAATTTATAAGAAACAGGACAGCTAGAGGAGTTTGAACCTCCCTTTGCCATTAGCCATTGGAAGAAAACTAGGTAAATTTGAGATAGATGAGGCTGGAAACATTCAGGGGTCCCTTTTTATTCATTTAGGTGCTCATAGGATTGCAGCTCCGTATGCAGGGTGTCTTGAAATTTTGGGGACACTACAGAGTTGGAAGAGACCTAAGAAGTCATATAGCCCAGACCCTCATGTTACAGATGAGGAACCTAAGAACAGTAAACGTTAAGTGACTTGCCCAAGATCACACAGGAGTAATGGTTGAGCTGGACTTTGCATTCAGATCTCACTGACTCCAAGTTCAGCACTCCCAAGTTCATCACACTTTACACTGCACCACACTGCCTCTGCTATATAATCGTTCTTCCACAGAGAGCCATCTGAATACAAATCTAGTCTGGAACTTCACTGAGACTTCTGTGTCCTTGATCAAACGTGATAATTTACATAACAATGTAGGCAAAGCACTTTATCAGAATATCCTCATCATTATTAGCAACAGCAGCTGCAAAGTTCCCTGCCTAGTGTTTCCCCCTCTTGGTTTTGCCCCAGGTTTGTTTGGAAGCATTAATAAAGAGCAAACTCCTTCTTCCCCCAAATACATAGAAGTCTGAGATTCCAGAGAGTTTCATGATATACATTCTTGAAATGTAGTCATAAAATATACTCAAAAAATGTTGCATGAAATTATTCTTAAGGCTTTCACAGCTCTCCTGTCAGCCTCCACTCCCTACTATAGAACAATTTCTTTTTTTTTTTCTTGTCTGTCTTTACACTAATAACCCTACACACATTCAGCTCAGGGACCACCTTCTATGTGAAACTACAAGTGCTCTTCAGATCTTCAAATTATCTTGTGTGCATTTTTTATCTCTCTAGTAGAAGGTAAGCTTCTTAAGAACAGAAACTGCTTCGTTTTACAGTTTGGATGCACAAAACCAAGTCCAAAGTATGAGGTTAATAAATGTTTCTTGAACGGAGTTGAAGTCCATAGTCTTTATCGTGCAACAAAGTAGTCAGGGCACAGCAGCATGACCCCTCTATGTTTTCATTAAAAATCAGGATGGATTTCCAGTACTACCCGGCATACTACAGAGGGAGCCCTAGATCCTATTTCAGCCATAATTGTCATGCGGACCTGGAGTGATTTGGACAAACAGGTTTTTTTCTTATTTGCCATATTTTATTGATTGTATTTATTTATTTATTCCTAAACACGTGGCTGATTCCTATTATTGAAATTTTTTCTTCTTTAAAAAAAATTCAATACCAAAAGAATTTACATAACTTTATATAACGCTGGATCTTATGCAAATTGTGTGTGTGTGTGTGTGTGTGTGCGCGCGCGCGCGCGCGCACCAGTAGGGGCCTGCCAAACTGCATGAGAATTGCGTGGAGGGAGGAGGAGGTGGGGGAAAGGGTAATGGGTAGGCTTAGCCTGTACAGTGCTATGGATGTGAAAGAGCTTAAAGGTAGCACATGCCTTTTGAACTGATCACCTGAGCGTCTGTATCCCAGCAGCGCTTAAGGAGGTAAGGAGGACTGGGACGTTGATCTTAGCGTAGGTGAGGTTCAGAGAGAAAAATAAGTAGAGAAGGGTCAATGAGGAGGGGCAAACTAAAGACTGTCACCAAGCACAGCGCATTGAGTATATCGAGGTTCCCCTTTGAGTCACAAGGCAGAACCTGAGGAAAAAACTAGGTTTGGTGGGTCTCTAGAGATCTGTCCCTGGGAACTTCGGCTGTCACAAGCGTCCTTGGCACAGGAGCTAGGTTTCAGGTCTTGCAGTGCCTCTTTCTATCGGTAGCCCTCCAACAATGCAGGGAAACTTCCCAATTTTGATTAGAGATTGGGAAGAGTGACGTGAAGATAGAGTTGGGTTTAGCCAGGCTCCATCCCTCTGTGGGACAGGAACAGGAACAAGGTCTCACTTCATGTAGATTCGTCTCTGGGGCTGGGAAGAAAAAATAAAGAGGGGAAAACAGGGGAAACTGGGAGCGGTATATAACTATATCGACCTCCACCCTCTTTTTTTTCCGCTTCGTAGCTGCTGACGTGCTAGAGCTTATTAATCATTCACCAGCACCAGAGCCGCGCCAATTAATCTTCTGCAGCTTGGTCCTTCAGCCAGCCTTCTTTCCCCTCCCCAAGCTATTCTGCTCCCCGGAGCCCCAGAAAATCAAGCAGCAGCGCTCAGTCAAGACTCCGGCAATGCACCCTGCCGCCTTCCCGAGCCTGAGCAGCATTCCGAGCCGCAATCTCTTGCACTGTGCTCTACAGCGGTAACCTGAAACAAACAGGTGAAGGAACAGTCTGGGAAGTGGGAGCTCCCAAGAGCAACGGGACAGACTGCGGAGCACTAGGGGAGGATCAGAGCGAGACAGCGCATCTCAGACCCCGCCTGCCACCCAGACCGGAATGTTTCCCAACAATACTGCCTCGTTTCCTTCCTCGTCTTCTAGCAGCAGCCCCAGCAGTAGCAGCGGCGGCCCCGGCCCAGGGTCCATAGCCCCTGAGGGCACAGAGGAGCCAGGGCGCAACGCTAGTCAGAATGGGACCTTGAGCGAGGGACAAGGGAGCGCCATCCTCATTTCCTTTATCTATTCCGTGGTGTGTCTCGTGGGGCTCTGCGGCAACTCCATGGTTATCTATGTGATCCTGCGCTACGCCAAAATGAAGACGGCCACCAACATTTACATCCTTAACCTGGCCATCGCAGATGAGCTGCTCATGCTGAGCGTCCCCTTCCTAGTCACCTCCACGCTGCTGCACCACTGGCCCTTCGGCGCGCTGCTCTGCCGCCTGGTGCTCAGTGTGGACGCAGTCAACATGTTCACTAGTATCTACTGCCTAACTGTGCTCAGCGTGGACCGCTATGTCGCTGTGGTGCACCCTATCAAGGCGGCCCGCTACCGTCGGCCCACCGTGGCCAAAGTAGTGAACCTGGGGGTGTGGGTGCTCTCGCTAGTGGTCATCCTGCCTATTATCGTCTTCTCCCGCACAGCTGCCAATAGCGATGGCACGGTGGCCTGCAATATGCTTATGCCAGAGCCAGCTCAGAGCTGGCTAGTAGGTTTCGTCCTGTATACTTTCCTTATGGGTTTTCTACTCCCGGTCGGGGCCATCTGTTTATGCTATGTGCTCATTATTGCCAAGATACGTATGGTAGCCCTCAAAGCCGGCTGGCAACAACGCAAGCGCTCAGAGCGCAAAATTACCCTGATGGTGATGATGGTGGTAATGGTCTTTGTCATCTGCTGGATGCCCTTCTATGTGGTGCAGCTGGTTAATGTCTTTGCTGAACAGGACGATGCCACTGTGAGCCAGCTCTCAGTCATCCTGGGCTATGCTAACAGCTGTGCCAACCCTATTCTCTACGGCTTCCTCTCGGACAACTTCAAGCGCTCCTTCCAGCGCATCCTCTGCCTTAGCTGGATGGAAAACACAGAGGAACCGCTTGACTACTACGCCACCGCCCTCAAAAGTCGGGGGTACAGCGTGGAGGACTACCAACCAGAAAACGTGGAATCCAGAGGCGTCTATGGCAACGGAACCTGCACCTCCAGGATTAGCACCCTTTGAAGGACTATTGGGAAAGCAATGCTAGGTGGTGAATTGGGCTCAGGGATGGTGGGGGCGAGGTGCTGTTCGAATGGACGGAAAGGAATATAACAAGACTGAGTGCAGGTCGAGTTGAAGGGGGAAGGGGCATACCGGAAAGTTGGCAAAGGTTATAAGGAAAAGATGGGAGTACTGTAATTTTGTAAGAAAGGGATAAGGAGCTGAACTGAGCAAGGGCAATGAAACCGGGATGGAGTCCAGGATTGCATACTATGCTTTCTCCAATCTTCTTCTTTTCTGTAGTGTCCCTATCCCTACCACCTCTCTCCCACCCTTTGAACCCCTCTTAAAATTTCTCTCTGGCTCCTTCTGTCCCTTTCTAGCTGATGACTTGTTGTTGTTGTTGTTACCTTATTCAACCTCTGAGTGGACCTTCAGTCTCTCTGTTCAGCTACTCCACCTTTCTTTGTTTGGTCCAACAAGGGGAACTGGTAAATTCCTTTGTTAATACCGTCACTTTCCTTTTGTATTTCTTCTCCATCTCACCATCCTTGCCCTCCTCCGGACTCACCTAGGCAGGGACAGGTAGCTGAGCCTAGGACTCTCATCCTCTGCCACCATATCCAAACACTTCTCCTTGAAGGAGAAACACTGGAGGGCGTGCAGAAAAGTCTTCTCTCCTTCTCGTCATCTGTTTGGGTTTTTTTTTTTAGGGACTCCGTAGAAAGATGAGGGAATAATAGGGGACTTTTAACCCAAGTTCAGGATCATAGATAGCAAATCTACTCTCCCAAACAAAAGAAGAAAACTTTCCTGGGAGAATACTGGGAGAAATTTTCCATTCCCAGTCCTACATTTACCTTCTCCCTCACCCAGAGGGAGCTGGGTGCTTAGAACAATGGGAATTTACTTATGACACACAGCACCAGCATTTGCTTAGTCATCCAAGAGCCTAAAATCCCAAGGTTGGGGTGATTCCCTCCTTTTTCTTCCACTTATCACCTCCCACTACCTAGCACTCATTTCTAATATTCCTTCATTCAGCTAACATCATAGATCAAGAAAATTTAGGCAGAGAGAGTGTAATTCCCAGGTTAAAATCAGGTTTGGTTTTATAGTGTTAACCCCTTAGTAATCTCCATCACCTCCTCCACATTACCTCCCAGCCCCTACTTCTAAAATCCAGCCATGGGGTGCAAGGACTTAAGTAAAACCAATCTATCTGTGGGATATTAAGTGGGGCCAGACCAGAGCAGATAAAAGATTTTCATTAATCTGTGGCTGCTAGTTCTTACCCTCTTTCATGCCACACCCCCGATCCTACCCCACCCATCAGGATTCCAGCAGTTTAACTTTTAAGGGTTGCCATTTTTATAATAGTATGGCTAATGAGTCCTCCTATCTTAGCTGCATGTGTGTGTGCATTCATTCATTCATTTATTTATTCATTTATTCACTCACTGACTGCATTTGAAAATTATCTTCCCTACCCTCCCCAGTCTAAATACAAGGTCTTTGAATTGTATTCAAGAGAATCTGGTAGAGAGAAGATGATCTAGTCTAGAAGGCTCCTTCTGATATTCTTCACCCTTTCAGGGTCTTCTTTTCTCCCCTTTCTTTCTCTTTTCCTTCCTTTCTCTTTCCATATTTTGGTGTGTACCTAGTAAACATTTTAGATGTTTTTCATCCATTTCTTATTATGGTCTCCTGTTTGTAATATGACAAATTATATTAACAACAATCAGTGCCCTACAATGTACAGTGATAGGTCCCAGTTCTTCGCACTTCAAGCATGATAGTGTGCCACATTTGAGAAGATTTAAATATATGTATGTATGTGTATACATATAGTGTGTATATATGTATATATATGCATATATACATATATATTTCTGTGCCAGCAAAACAATGACAAATATAGCTAACAGGAAACCTTTTTAGTGAATCACTTTCTAGAGTATACCACTCAAAAGGACTCAAGCTAAAAGCTCAGAAACATATAAAACACTAAGTACTGTAGGACCAAGGAACATTTAACACTGTGTTTCCTGGGCTTTGACTTAGTTCAAACTGAAGTTATCTTATCATGAAATCTTAGCTCCTTGGGGAACATGGGAAGAATAGCTAATATACATTGCATGTCTCCCTAACTAAATTGGAGCTGGAAGAACTCAGTCTAGCTCATAGTAAGCATTCTATTAATCTAGATTAATGAGTGGTAAGATGGAGCCTTGTTACAAAGTCAGATGATTAGAAATTCTCAACCACAAATCATTTTTGAAAGTAAGCAGGTATAAATATTAAAGAAATACAGAAAACAAACCCTAATGTTCTTCCATTGATAACAGATGAAGCAAAACAGAAATTCTAGCCACTATGTGAAAAAAAAAATTAATGTTTCAAGACTAGTTAGCTTTCCTTAGCAAAAATTTTGCTTTTAAAATAGCAACTTTAAAAAAGACCCATTTAAAAAATGGATACTGTTGCTTTTGATTGTAATTAAGACAAAATTTGGTCCAAATATTTTTATTTGTTAAAGAGAATTGAATTGTTAAAAACAGTGAAATTTACATATAAAAAACCTTAATCATAATTATCTTAAGATACCAATTTGGTCTTCTTATTCTGTCATTCTAGTCAATATAACTGTGATGTTAGCTTAATAAAAGGCATATTATTGTATACTAATCTATGTGTTGTACATACCCGGTAAATGTAAGCTTCTTGAGGGCAAGGATTGTTTCAGTCTTTGTGTCCCTAGTGCCTAGCACAGTGCCTTGTACATAGTAGGTATTTAATAAATGTTTGTCAGATTGGATTGGATATGTGTAATTTTGCAATATTAAGTTGATTGCTGTAATCAACCACTCAGAAGCATGTACCCCATAGGCTAAGGAAATTAGCTTGGGTTTTAATCAGATGGATTTGAATTACCACCACTCCATAGCTTTATCATGAGAAAAAGAATCCTTTAAGGTTTCCAAAAATTATTAAATGATTATTTATGTTAGATATTTACTTTTTATTAGTAGTATTCTTATTCCCTATTGTCATTACCAAACTAACTAGGAGCCCTGGCTTTGCGTTACAGATTAAATTAGAGATCAAGCTTCTGGTGCTAGACCTTGTGGTGAAGACAAATAACTGCTGGTTCACATACACAGGTAAAAGGGGGAAAAGGTTGTGGGAGAAAAGCAACTGCCTACTGCTCTATAAAGGTATGTCAGAATAAGTGGAGTATAAGTATTTTCTGGCCTTGTCTTTGCATACCCCTATTTACCTAAAGGATATTTCTATGGCTCATCTCCTCATCCCTTCCACTCTGAGACCAGAATATTGTAACTTGCTTATGGGATGGCTATAACCTAAGAGAGACCAGTTCTTCTGGTCTGTTGTTGAAGATATGGGAGAAAATGTCAAATGCCTTTTAAATAATGAATATTAACAATACAACTTTTATTTTGCTCAATCTTTCATATAAATACCTTTTTACAGAGTAGTGAAGGTAATGAGGCTGATAAATGACAAAATTATTAGACTGGGATCTTGATGATTAATTTCCAAAAAAAAAAAATAATAATCCAATGGGCCTAATTCGAATCAGAACAGAGCTGGTATGGACTAGAATGTATCCTGTCTGCCCATTTGATCATGGGACTTTAAAATACACAATATGCCTATAGCATTACAGAATATTATTTGGTCCCCCACTAAACTGAACACCTTTGTAGTTAAAGACAACATTTTATTTTTATTCACATGAGTACCTCATTCTATATTAATAGCTAGCATTTATACAGTACTTTAAGGTTTGTGAAGTATTTTACACATATTACTTCATTTGATCCTCACAACAACCTTTTATGGTATCTGCTACTATGATCTTCTCTTTGTTGATAAGGAAACTGAGATTGAAAGAGTTTACATCACATACAGCTAGTTAAGTGTATGTATTTTAAACTCAGGTCTTCCTGAATCTAAGTCCAGCATGCTTTCCACAGCACCATTTAGCTGCCTCAAATTCTAGCCAATTTGGCTTTGAAGGAAGTTATACAGAGCAAACATTAAGGTGTAATTCCCCAAGGACCACACAAATCACATAATTTAAGATTTGATAGGAACCTAAGCAGACATCTAAGTCAATTGATACCTGAAAAGAAGCATCTTCTCTCCAATATACCTGACAAGTGGTAATCCAGGCTCCTAGTTCTTCCTTCAGGGGCCACCATTCCCCCCTTCAACATGACAGACTTTCATTAATACTATGGTAATAATTCATTATGTTTTGTGCCATTTAAAGATATGGCATAGCTTCTGACTTCTAGCATACCATGGTAGGAAGGAAAAGAAGTCTTCCTTTTTATTAGATTAGTATTTTCCACTGAACCAGTGAGCATTAGAAAGAGACATAAATAGAAGTAACTGGTAGGTTCAGACTAATCAATTTAGGATATTGGGATATGTCATGACTGTTTATGTATGCTATCTGTGGGTTAAACTCTATTGAAAAGAATATATCAGACACTTCCAGTCTGCCTAGTTCTGACTGCAGCAAAAACCTTAAATTCTCCCCAAAGTAATGATCAAGAAATCCAATGAGAATCTACAGTGATTTCTTCTACTACAGAATCTGACAAAAATTTAGCCAGGAACCCAAGAACAATAAGAAAGGGCAGCACCAGCAAAGCCTCTGCCTATGTAGGCAAACAAGCCAGTAGCAGAGACATGTGGTGCTCACAAGGCTCCATGCTCATCAGAATAGAGGACCCCCATGAGAAAGTCACAGGACAGGAAACCAGACCTTGGAAGCCAAGGGAGTAGTGACAACCAGTGCCATGGAGCAGCACTGAAGCCAGAGACTCCCAGATCTCTAGAAGTCTGCCCTGTGATGCAATTAAGTGCTCTGAAACCCAAAGACACTGGCCTAGCCTTAGGGCATAGAGATCAATGTAGGGACCCAAGGGACCCAAGGCAAGACTAAGTAAGGCCAACCACCCCACCCTGGAATGCAACAGCTGGGAACACCTGGCCCTGACATGAAGCCCCAATTCAGAAACTAAGGCTAGAGATGTGAATAAACCAAATAAAATACCAACCAGTATTAAAAGCATCATAAGTTTAGAGATCCCCATAATGAAGAAATAATTCTATAAAAGCTTCTAGCCAAGACTCAAAGAAAAAGTGGATTTTCCAAAAGAACTACATTTAAAAAAAAACTAAAAGAATTGGAGTTATTGATTTTTTCAAAATCAAATAAAAGCATATTAGGAAAGAATTGGAAAGAGAATAAATAGCTTAGAAGAGAAAGAGGGTAAATCTTACCCAAGTAAGACACCAGAAAAATGAAAATAAATCAAATAAAATCAATGAATCCACAAAACAGCTAGAAATGTTAGAATGAAATCATAATAATGTAAGATATTGAATATAAAAAAAACTAAGCTTAAAACCAGTCAAGAAGGTATCTTTTAAGAATCATTGGATTTCCTGAAAATATGATTTTTTAAAAATCCTAGATTCTGTATTGCAAGAAATCATACAACAAAATTTCTTAGATCTATCAGAACCAGAGCACAAAGTGACTTCCTGAAAGAGACCCAAAAATGAAAAGTTCCAGGAATATCATAGCTAAAAATTGCAACTCCCATGTAAAAAAAAAATACATAGCAATAATCCAGAAAGAAGTTCAAGTACCAAGTAACAACAGTCAGGATCACCAAAGACCTGGGAGTTTCTACCATAAACGAGAAGAAATCTCTTAAACACAATATTCCAAAAGGCGAAAGATACAGGCTTATAACCAAGAGTGATTTACTCTGCAAGGCTGAGTATAATCCTACGGGAGAAAAAAACAGATTTTTAATAGAATAGAGGACTTTCAGGAATTACTAATGAAGAAAACTAGAACTTTGAAATGCAAACACAAGAGTGAAGAATAATCTAGAAAGGTAAATTTATTTGAGAAATCAAAAGAAGCTATATTATGATGTAGTGCTAACATTCTAATGGGGTAGAACAAATAAGAATCATTTCAGAACCTTAATGTTTTCAAAGGGTTTTGAGGAAGTCAAATAAGAAAAACAGAAGTCCTAGGATGAGGTAGGGATGGGGTAAGGGCTGGATTGGTTTTGTTCTGAGAGTTTTAAAAGGAGAAAGAGAAAAAAGAGTAAAAGGGGTACATCAGTGTAAAAAGGAGGAAGAAGGTGGAACTCACCATTTGTCATTAATGTGGCATACAAGAATAGTATGCAAACATGGATAAAAGGGTGAGGGAAGCAGGTATCAGATGAGCTTCACTCTTACCTAAAATGAACAAAAGATGTTCGAATAAACGTACACAGTTTGTTACAGCAAAACATCCAACCACAATAGGCAAACAAGCGAGGGTGTTAAGCTTTATTAAGAAGGAACATCATATTAGGGAAGGATGAGTCACAAGCAAAACAACTCCCTGATCCTGAGCAGGACAGAAGAATTAAAAGGGGGGCAAAAAGAAAGAGATAAAACTAAAAACAAAGGGCTTGCCCACCAGTTAGGGAATGGCTAAACAAATTATGGCATATAAATGTAATAGAACGTCATCGTGTAATTTTTAAAAATATGAAAGGCTACTTCAGAGAATCCTGAGTAACATATATGAACTGATGTAGATTGAAGTGAAGAATTATTTATACAAGGACAACAACATTGTAAAGAAAAACAATTTTGTAAGGCTTAAGAACTCCAAAGGAAAGACCAAGCACATCTCAAGAATACCTAAACTGAAGCATGTTATTTATCCACATCATGACAGACTGGTGATGAACTTAAGGTGCGAAAAAAAAAATTCTGTATGTTGTCATTCTATTTGCTACAAGGAGGATTTTCCCCTCTTGTTTTAATGGGAGAAGGGATTAGGGAAAGGAAAGGCTAATGATTCTGATGCCTCCCTTCCAAAAAAAAAAAAAAAGAGGGCCATGGAAACCTTTTTTTCTTTTTTTAATACATAAAAAAGTTCAGAAAGTTCAAAAGGAAGCACAGATAAGCAGGACAGTTTTAGAACATGTCAAATTTATTTTATATTAAAAAATGGTATAAAATGGAGATTCATGGTTTGTTTTCTACTGTGCATATGGAAATGCTTGCTTTTTTATATTTAAATTCAAAATAAAAAAATTTTTAAACCATGCAACATTATGACCAAAAAGTTACAAGAGTTAACACTCAGACAGAGTAGTCCTGCCATTGGGAGTATAAGCAAGCTATTGGCAAGACAAAAGACTTATCTTTAGAAAAATATGGCTAGCAATCAACAGAAAAATACTTATTAAGTGCCCACTTTGTGACAGGCACCATGATAGACATTGAATAATAATTATAAGGTTTAGACATTTGTGCTCAGGTGAGGGAATCAATGAGTGGGACTTCCCAGCGTGCTTGAAATTCATCCTATTCCAAATTACTTCATAAATCATTTTGAGTTTCTCAACTGAAAAAAAAATGAGTATTGTTTTCCTTTATTATTTTAAAAACCTTATTTGTAGGATGAAATGACTTTCAAAGACTGATTTTTATTAATTTTTTAGTGATAAATGTGCACTCAAAGTAAAGATTAGAAATAAAACCTTTGTAATTCAAGCAAAACCCTTTACATTTATGTGGTATGTCAAGTAGTTATTGCTAATGGTGCTGTCTAAAAAGAAAATAGCAAAACTCAATACAAGTAATTCAGCAAACATTTATTATCTCATTTCTTTTCTCTCCACTACTATATGATAAACATTTATTAAGTATCTATTAGGTACCAGACATTGTGCTAAGTGCTGGAGATACAAATAAGAAAAACGACAATCCTTACCTTCAAGGAACTTCAAAAAAATATATATGCATTTTATATTAATTTTTTTAAATTTTGAGTTTCAATTTCAATCCCCATCCATTGAGAAGGGAAGCAGTATGTTACCCACTATACACTGTGAAGTCTTGAAAAACATATTTCCATATTAGCCATGTTGACAAAAATAAAAAGGCAA